AAAAAAAATAAATAAAATGGCCCTGGGTTTACTGCCCAAGATTAGGGAGCTAACTTGTTGGAGGGTGACTGGTCCCCCAATAAGGACATAAAGGTTGGGACTTCCTAAAGTCCTCTATACTGAGTTCACTTCCCTGGGGCATGCATCGAGCTAGCTTCTTGATAGCATTTTGTGTGCTAAGTGGCCTCTTAAAATTTCGGACAGAATTCTAAGCAGGGTGAAGGAGAGGATGTGTCTAGGCTTTGTATGAAGTGGTAGTTCCTTGGGGGACCAAGATCAGGAGACAACTGAAAGGAGGGGGAGAGAGAGTTGGGCTTTAGGCCCAGTGACACCTGAGAGGGCCTTGTGCCACCATTTCTAGTAGTATGCTCCAGGTGAGTTAATCAGTTGAATCTGAGACTCAGTTTCCCCATCTATACCGAAAAGGTCTCACTTCCTCAGCTTTCACACAGTTGTAAAGACTAGCAGACATACTTTCTGTTCAATCACTGGCGCCTAGTGAGCTACAGTCATTTGTCACTTAATGACATTTTGGTCTGCGGTGGACCGTAGAGACCAGGGTGGTCCAAGAAGGTGAGTCACATGTCCTGGGTTTGTGTAATTGCACCCTATGATGTTTGCATGGTGATGGAATGACATGTTTCTCAGAACAGATTATTTTTGTTATGTGATTCACAATTGTAATTATTGAGTACCTACTATGTGCCAATCACTGAGCTCAAGATTTTGCTGGGATTATCTCCTTGGAGTCACTCAACAAGCTTGGGGGTAAGACCTTCCCCAACCCACAAGTCAGAAAACCAAGGTTTCTGTGCTAGAAAATGGCAGAATGAGTCTGATTTCAGGAACCTCGCCTTTGGCAGAAACACTCCTCTGCTTCCCACAAAATGGAACACGTTTCATCTCTTGCTTTTTCCTCTCTTAGGACTTGAGAACCACCCCTGCAAGAAAAGACCCAAGACCAACCTTCAAACGGGCGCTTTCCACAGACTATTTGGTCACAGGGCCCTGAGCAACGGAGCGGCAGTTCTTCTTCTAGAAAAACCAGAGTACATTTGGTGATGGATTAGAACATCTGGCATTAGTTCCTGACTTAGCATGCAAGAACACTTGAAAAGTAAGTACTTGCTACTGAAAGGAAAATACTCTTCAAGAGAAGTCCCTGAAACCTAAACAGTTGATGGTCCCAGCAAATACACTGACCCACCTTCAGAGTCCAGCTCCAGTGTGCCCCCTAATGCTCCCATGGCCCCCAACCTTCCTCTCAGAGTCAGGGACCAAGAGCTCAGCATCTAATAGCAACTGTTACACCCCTGTGTTTTGTCAAAACTCACTCAGACCAACATCCACTTTGACAAGCACAAGAGTCAAGACAGAAATTGGGGCACAACTGCAAAGCTGAGTTAGACACAGAAGCTGCTGCTTCTAAATCTAGAGGAAAAGCATGATTGATGTGCCACTGAGAGGCTCAAGACAGGGAATGCTCCTCCAGTTTTGGGGTTCAGAGCACAGTTTCAAATTCAAGCTAATTTTAAAGTTAATCTGAAGTTAAGTCAGAGCATTTAAAATAGGCCTTAGACAATCGCTAGCATTCAGGCTGATCTGGACGGAGTCACGGAGAAAAGACTGCGAGGCAGATGGTGAGGAGCAGAGCTGGACCTCAGTGGGGGTTTGCTTGGAGAGGATGATGGGGAACACCTGCAGATTTTTGTTTTATATCAAGGAGGAGAAATATGACCAAAACTGTAATGAATCAAGTAATGACTTGATCACTTAGAGAATAGCGTGCATGGAGGTTCAATATCAGCTCATCAGGTGTCTATTTGTTCCGTAAATTGCAAGAAGGACCTGAGCTAAGGACGTCACCCTGGGGACAGGAAGGGGAGGTAGAGGGCATATTAGTTCTTGGAGAAAAGAAACCATGTCAATTTGTTCAGTTTTCCTTCCTCTAGACCCAAAGCATTTGCTAAGTCCACAATGGCATGTGCTGAGTTCTAACAGTTGAGAGTCATTTCTGATAAATGGTGGGTTTTGTCTGGGTCTGGGGATGTAGGAACAACAGAATCACAATATACCAGTTTCAGTATATACAACATACTATAAATACACAATATACTGGTATAAATAATATACCAGTTTCAGTATAATCCAGAGGGCAGAGAACTTCAGAACCTTAACTTCTAAGACAAAAAAAAAAAATCCTTTTTAAATGTAGTGACTGGTTTTAGGCCTGCTCAGTGGCTAAGAAAGTCTAAGTACTTTTTAATTATGACATGATTAAAAGAGGTAAATGAAAGTTTATAAAAGACTTTTTTAAAGTAGAATTTAGATTTCAACAGTAAATAGTTTGGGATGAGTTAAAGTCTCAATGTAAAAGTCCAATTCTGATTTTATAATAATTACCTGAACCATGATTATTCTCTAAATGAGTCTCCTGGAGAAAAAACTTAGTCTCGATATTTTATTAAGAAATAAAATATACTAAGTTTGAATACTGACTTTCTGTAACACCAGAAATGTTCAGTATTTGAAAGGTTCTGGAAACTTCACCATGAACGGTACGTGAATGTTTCCAGAAACTTCATCACGAACGGTACCCAAATGGAAAGTTCCAGAAACTACCCAGCAGCCCATCACTCATTAAGATAGCGAAGGAAGAAAGCCCCACCCAGATCCCAGGACCCTCCTGTGTCTGCAGTGGGTGCAGCTTTGTCGCTTGCTCCTGGTGGGATTCTGGGCAAGTGTATAACCCTCATCCATAGTGTCCTCATCTACATAACGAGGACAATAACAAGGTCTTGTTTCTGAGGGCTGGTATGAGGAGTAAGTGAATTTTTTTTTTTTGTAAAGCAGTATGCCATGTAATGACGACTTTTGTGATCACTAACTAGATTCACACAATGGACTGTGTTGTTTTATTTTTTAAATCCTCACCATTCTTGAAATATCTATTCACCTTCGGAACCAGCAGCAGTTGGATAGAATAACAAAAAGGTGACTTGTGTTATTGTTGTTATATGGTTTTAAAACTATTTTTAAACACTTTTGAAGCTGCAAAATGTCATTAATTATCTGCTGTGGTTTCTATAGTGTCCTAACATGTCAATTAGGTGTCCAATGTATTTGGATACCAATAAGCTCGGGTAAAAATACATTGGTGGAAAATTGGCCCAAAATAGGTTGGTAACCCTAATAAGCAGTTTATGTAGTCTGGGTGAGGTACATACTAGGTAATAAGTCTATTTTTACTTGACATCAGTACCAATTATCAAGGAAAGGTATATTCAAGCACAAATAAAACTTAGTACTGATGCTGAATTTAGAAGTCAAGTTAATTTCAATAAAAACTGGATGTGGAAAATATGAGTACCTGAAGCACAGGCATTCCAAGGCTTGTTGGTCCGTGGAACAGCTCTGTCCCCAAACCCCAGGGTGTGGTGAGGATGAGGAGCAACTGCAGGAAATGAAAGTGCGCCTTGCACACCATGTCCAGCACATCACAGCCACGATGCTCACGTCAGACCTCTCCTCAGTGAGGCCTTTCTGTGTGTTTGCCCAGTTGGACAGCCTAAATGCTTAGTGAAGTTGCTTCAGAACTACACTTCTGCATCTGTGTTATTTGCACAAGACACAGTGATTTGGATGCAGATGGTCTTGAGGTGGGGGCGATGGTAGTAATTCATGTGAGAGGTGTCACAAGCCTGGATAACGATAGGGATGGAGAGGATTGGCCAGAACTCAGGAGCTATTAGGGAAAGTCATGTCTAGAACTTGGAGGTAAGTTAGATAAGAGATGGAGGAGAGAGAGGAAGAGACAAAGAGGGTTCTCTGTGGTCGGTTTAGGCTGTTGGTGGATTCTGTTCTGGGAGGATAGTTGAGGATGAGGGAAAGAGAGGGAAGATTTCAGTCGAGGACTGAGAAGATCCAATGCATGGTGAGTATATAGCTCTGAAGCTGAGGAAAGAAATCTGTGCTGAAGGGACAGATGAAAGGGTTGACATATAAATGGTAATTAAGGTGAAGACAGCAGGCAAGGATTTTATTGAAGAAGTAATTGCAGAGTGTGGACTCAATTATACTCAACAAATTTTTCAATCATTTAGTGTGGGAACCAAGCTGAGTATTAAAGATTTTTGGTGCCCAAAGAGACGAAAACAGGTTAGCACAGTTATTAGAGTTCTGAATTATGTTTTAATGCAAACATATTTATCCTGAATATACATTAGCCTATATTCTCCAAAACTTGATATGTTTATGTACCCTGGAATGTATGTGTATGTGCACTCACACACATGCACATGGAACAGTGAGGTAATTCATTTTAGAACATGATGATTTAGTAATAAGCATAATAAATAGTTGTGCCAAAACTAATACTCTACTAAACAATATATTGATAATTAGCATAATTTTAATTGAACTGCCATTGGTTTACATTACATCATGTTAGTATTTGGTAGCATAGGATTTCCCCACTCAGGTGTAGTCACTGTAGCTCACCTACACCAAAGCACCCATAGTTCTCCACCATGGCCCACTGCGTGCTCTCCCTACTCTCTTCTCACCCTGTGCCCTCACCCTTGGAATACCTCAGATCTATCAGCTTTCAAAGGTTGGTTTTAAAGCCTATCTTTGTCTGACCCTTTGTTTGGTTTCTCTACAGTCCACATATAAGTGACACCATCTGGTGTTTATCCTCCTCCTTCTAGCATAATCCCTTCCAGCTCTATTCATGGTGCTGCAACTGGCATGAGTTTATCTCCTTTGATGACTGAGTAGTATTCCATTGTGACCAACCACACTTCTTGATCCAGTCATCTGTTTAAGGGAATGTAGTTTGTTTCCATGTCTTGGCTATTGTAAAGAGGGCAAACATTTATTTTAAGAAACACAAACTGCTCAACAAACACATTTTAAGCAGTTTAACACCACCACATAATTAGGCGTAGCAATCTGATTATCAAAAGACTGAGACCATCTAGAAATGAAGAGGACAAACATCAAGCTTTGTTTACCTGTGCTTTGAGCCTAGAGTGGAGCTTGTGGTCTGACAACCAAGGGTGCTTGAGAGCTTCACTTGCACTTACTCTCCAACTAACAGGAAAGTCAGAAAGTTATTAGTAAGGACACAACAAATGAGGCCTTCGTCCTTCATCCAACCTCAACTCTGACCACTGTCTTTGGTATACCAGATGACTGAATGTCAAGAACACAGACAATTTTACCTCCCCTTGGATTGTGTCACCAATAATTGTGTAGATTACCATCATATCCAATCAGGATAACCACACGGGTGAGCCAAGCAAAATTGTTAACTATTCTTAATAAGTAACCATTCTTAGTATGTCAAATCTTCATTAATTAAATTTCTGTCAGACTGTTAAATAATAAATATATATATATAATTGTAAGAACACAATGTTACAATATTTTTATAGTGGCAAAAGCAATTAAGGTATTAAGACTTAAGAAAAATATGTATTCCTAACTTTTGAATTCAGTTTTGAAGAGTTAAATAAATCAGGAAATAGGTGGAGACTTAATATAACTATTTTTTTAAGATTTACTCGTTTATACAAGAACTGGGGTATAGGCCAGATGCACGGGAGGGTGAGAGGATTCACAGAGACAGAGTGGGGAACAGAACAGGCAGACTGATGAAATACACTGCTGAGGGGAGCAGCAGGCAAGACAGGAGAGGTCTGCTGCACCATGTGGGTTTCTCCGCAGCCGGCCAGGATTGAACCCACACTGCAGAGGCCGCAGACAGCTTCACAGTGCAGCGCTCAACTGCCTGCGTCACCAGGGAGGCCCTTAATATGACTATTGAGAGAGAATATATGATACCTTTATAAAGAAACTATCTCCTTTTCACCCAACAAAGCTCTCTGCAATTTTTTTAAATGAAGAAAAAGAAAAAAAGGTCATATTATATTCCAATTCTATGATCTGTAAACTTATTTTGTGTATTAAGTTTCATCATATCAAACCAAATGACCTTTCAAACTAAAAACTATAAGCTAATGAAACTACATCAGGAAGGTTCAGTTTGTAGGAATGCTTTGATAAAACTGCTTCACCTAATATTCATGAGTTAGACTTGAAGAGACAAGTCTTTAGTCAATAATAAAAGACACAACTGCTTAAAAAATCACAATTATAAGGACCCTATATAGGCAGATATAATTAAATAAAAACAAGAAAACTCTTGACTTCCACCAACCTCAGTTGGGAGTGTTATTTTTTTCTTGGTTGTTCTGAATATCATGACTTTTCAGTATTAGACCTCCCTAGAAGTATCCCAATAGCTGACAGAGCTGAAAAAGTATTCCTATGTGCCAATGTCAACCTTTTCAGATCTATCAAAAGTTGACAACATCGTACTACTAATTAAATTTTTAATACAATTTCAAGTTTATTTTTGGACCCCAGAAATTTATTCTGTGGTAGTGGTATTTGACTCTGGTCTTTGTTCATCCAAGTGTCAGTTTGTCTACCTCCTGCCCAGTGTGTACTGGTTGCTGCTAAGGTGAGGGAGTGGGTGGGCAGTCCCACCCTCTGGCCCTGAATCTGCCCAGAGCTGCTATATCACCATTTCCCTGCTCTCAGCCTCGATTTTCTCATCTACAAAATGCTACTTGATAATATCCATACCCCGCAGGACTTGCAGAAAAATTAAATCAGTTAATACTTAAAAGTACATCTGTAGGGGCCTCCCTGGTGGTGCAGGGGTTAAAGACAGTACTATCAAGCTATTGCCAGCCACTGCAACACAAGTTCGATCCTCAGCCAGACAGGAAGCAAACACACATGGCGCAGCAGACCTCTCCTGCCTCCCCTCAGCAGTGTATTTAAGTAGATCAGCCTGTTCTGCTCCCTGCACTGTCTCTGGTGAATCCTTTCACCCCCCGCACCTCTGGCTTACACCCCAGTTCTTGTATGCATAAATAAATAAAATCTTAAAAAAAAGTCCACTGTAAAAAAGTTCTCACTAAGCATGGATTTCTCATTCATCAAGGATTTTGATAGAGTTAATATTTCCTTCTTCTTTTATGGGGATTGTCTAAATTTGCATCAGTGTAAATCTATGGCCACACTGGTGGAGAAGAGCAGAATGAACATCTAGTTATTAGTTCCATGTAGGGCAAGCCCACTAGGTTGAACAGGATATAGCCAATCACATCAAGGGAGTAAAACTGTAGGTATATAGGGAAGAATCCCTGTGGGAAAGCCAGCCACAGGAAGGGAGTCCACTACTGATGGCTTTTTCTACCTGTGATTGCCTGACCCACGGTCACGTGCAATAATAATGTCATCAGCTATTATTAATAGTAATAATAGCATCATCAGCTGCTGAGCCTTTCCAATAAAGCTAAAACCAATGTCAGCTCTCCTAATGCCTCTTCTGATCCTAACACCTGCAGCCTGGCTTCAGTCCTCTTCTACCCGCTAGGCCATGTCTATCACTCCATCTTTGCATTATCCACATTGTATTATGTCTTTTAAAAAAATAATCAAGTCTTCCATGAGATCCTGAGTTACCTAAAGGCAGGTACTAGCCTTTCTGTATCTGTTTTCAATAGCCCAGAAACATCTCCTGGAGGACTGTAGGTAATCAGTTAAGTGCTACAGTGAAAAGACTTCCTGTAAGCCAGACTCTTTGCCCTTGTCATACCCTCCTCCCCCCCTCACATTGCACCCTCCTATCTGCTGGTCTGTGGCCATGTTTATTAATTAATAATTCAACACCACAAAGATAATAAAAACAATAAGGCAAGTATTACTGGCCCTTTTGGCCCTGAAATATACTATTATAAGTTTTAGATATAAAACCATCTGAAGCAATGCATTTGGCTAGTTAATCACAATGTCTTCTCCTCCCCACCCCATAATTCCAAGCTGTAAACCCCTATAGTTCAAAATCACTTCATCCACTGTATTTTCAGTGTATAGGGTTTTAGCATGACAGAAAAGAGAAGGTCGTGTGATGTAGAACAGAAAAGAGCATGGGTCTAGTGGAAGGACAAGTTGAGTTTGATAATCAGTTCTACCACATCCCAGCCAGATGATAGTGGACAAACTGCTTAGTCTCATCCATAAACTAGTAATGGTGGCTTCTACCATGTGGAGTTGGGCAGAGGGTTAAAATATCATGCCTTCATCACACATGGCATTGCCTGGTCCTTACAGATTCTCAAATGAAGTGATGATTAAGTGTGCAGCTACACATAGCCATGTGTGCTTGTAGATGCAAAAGGGATCATGGAAACTTATCTAAAACCCTTCATTTTGAGGGTGATTCCACTGTGACCCAGGAGGAGCCCCCAGTTGCTGGAGCCTTATTGTAAAAGGCAGAAGGAAGGAAGTTTTCACAACCCATGTAAGCTTCATGAGCAAAGCAGTCCTAGATCTCAGTAAACTGGGTCAAGAGTGGCAAGCTCATTTTATCTGCAACTCTGCCTGGGTATGGTAGCTGTCACAGGGAATTCAGTAGTTATTTGGCATGCATCCTGATAAACTGGGACAGTGGGTACTGCTTCCTGATCACCCCTACCACGTCCAGAGCATGAAATGAACTTGGGTTACCTCTTCTCCTTAATCAGAAGCTTGGAGATGAACTCCCTGCCCTCATCTGAGAGGTCCTGAAACTCCTCCTCCTCCAAGTCCCACCTGCAGGCGAGGATGTTGTTCAGGGTCTCGACATCAGTGTCACCCAGGAAGGGAGACAGACCGCTAAGCCTACAGCACATGGGATCCAGAGTGAGTACTTTGCAATACATGGGCTGCTCTTTTGATTCTGTCATTTAAAATTGAAATAAGCAAGTAACCTGATCATACAGCATGATTTTATGATATGTTTTTGCAATCATGAAAATGCTCACCTCTCCCACCCCAACTCCTCATAAAACAATGGCAGCAATGACGGCAGCAGTTATACTCCAATCCTTGCCAAGTGCCGTCATGTACTCAGATGACAGACACCAGGAGTGTCACCTTGAGGGGGAAGGCTAGCAGGAGTCTTTAGGAGATCAGGACACAAAGGTTTTTTACATTATTTTAAGGGCACTAGGTGGTGTCCTGGTTGTTGATTCATGAAGTAGGCATATATTTGCTTTCTCAGGTGATGGGCTGGGAAGGAGTGTGCCCCTTTCCCCCACAGAATACAATAGTGCCTAGTACGTAACTGGAGATGATGTGGGGTTCTTTATTTTTAGCAGACCTAAATCAGGGTTTTTATTCAAAATAGCAAAAACTCATTTGATGTGCATGAGACTTGGAAACAAATTCAGAGGCTGGGTATCTGCTTACAGCATGTAGGTGATGACCCCCACACTCCACATGTCAGTGGGAAAGGAAACAAAATCGTAGTTCACAACTTCAGGGGCAAGAAATTCTGGGGTGCCAAAGTTCACCTTCAGCTTGTCTCTGGGTTTGTATCTGAAATTTAAGAGACAAAGGAGAGAAAGTGCCAATTAAAAATGGAAATTGAGCAGCTACAGCCTATCAGACAAGATAACTTCAGCATACAGCAATTTTAAAATATATAGACTTTAAGAGATAGTGACAAACACTCATATAGAAGTTCCAGGTGCTTTTTCAGGCTAATTAGAACACTTACAGAATAAGACGAAAGGAAAACTGGTGCAGTACTTGACATTATTAGATGGCTTGAATGAGACTGAATGAATGAATGAACCAAATGCAGTAATTTACAATACCCATTTTATAATTACTGTCACTATGCAGAAGCTCATGCAAATTCTATGTTCATAAATTCTATGTTCACAAATGTTTCAGAACCCTTCATGATTTTGTTTACGTTATTCCTTTTTGAAAAATAAATCTACTCTTTGTAGGTAGAACCAATATAAATGACTCCGATAAACTCTGTGAAGTCTAAATTATGGTTCTGAATTTAATAACCACCCTATTACACTTTCAATTTCTTGTATTTTTTCACATGTGCACTGTAGAAACTTCTAAACGTTCTAATCCCAAAGTCAGCAAGGTAAGGCTGGACATAATTCTTACAAAGTGAATTCTAAATGAGAGTATGGAACCAAGGGGTATATCAGATTTATCTTTGCAAAGCAAAGCCCACCATCATGCTCCTTAACTTCATTCACACGCTAGTTCCAAGTAGACATACCTCCTGGCCAATCCAAAATCAATAATTTTTATTTGCTTAGCATCCCGATTCACACACAGGATATTCTCAGGCTGCCAGGAGAAAGAGACACATTAGCAATGAAAACAACCATCATTCACTCAAATTGTCCTTGAGCCACAACTAAAAATACAGCGATGCTCAGGAAAAACATATCAGACCTTTTACTCTAGGACTGGCTTGTCTGTGGGGGTATTTTCTCCTTTAATTATGTGGTGGATGAGGTTGCGGGTGCCCGCCAAGCCGGCATTACCCTGCCTGTCCGTCTCCTGCCTCTGCAGTTTATATATGAGTTCAGGCAGAGGCCTCCTGGAGGAAAGAAGGAAAAGGAGGCTGCTTTCCTCCTCTTCCAGATGAACTGGTGGAAGCCGGCTCACACTTGACATCTGCCCCCCTAAAATTATTAAGTATGAATTTCCCCCTCTTGCAGGAGTATTTTCCCAAGGATTTATGAGTTCCAAGAGAAATGGCCTGATTCTCTTAAACAGCCTTACTGACTATGCAATATAATGTGACTACTTCTAACCCCCAGATTGTCCCTCTGCCCTGCCCCTCTGGGATAGTCACACTCGAAGGGAGGTTCCCCCAGTTCATTCTTCATTCTCAGCCATACCCAAGTTTTGCTGAGTTCGGTCTCAACGCCTAAACTCCTTGACGAGGTGTTCCCCTGGAGTTGGGCTTCACCCAGCCCATCTGACAGCCTTGGCAGGAAGGGGAGAGACGCAGACAGTAGCCCTGTGACCCAGTTTTTACAGAACGTCTTACAAGAGTGCCTCCACTTATTAAGACAGAAAAACTGAGGTCTGGGAACAATAAGGGATTTTATTTAAAGTCAAGGTCATCCATAAAAAAGAAATAAAGTTGTCCAAAAATTGCCCGGGACTCTCAAACTCTATTCCCAGCTCTGCCCTAAATGCTGGGGATGTTAGCTCAGTCACCGAACCCCCGTTTCTCATCTCTAGGTGGGATTCTGAGGGCCCCTCTCCTACCTGTCTGGGAGAAGAGGAAGTTCAGATGAGACCAGAACTCAGAAACACTTATGAAATGACATAGTGTCTCCCAATCAATATTTAATAGTCCGTTTGGTTGCATATAATAACTCTGAAAGCCCTTTTCTGAAATATTTCTAAAACAGATGTCTATAACTAAAGGCTATTTATAGAGAAGAGGGTGATATATAAAAACATTTGGTTTCATACTTAAATAACTGATCAATCATGTATAAAGCTGCCCGATTGTCAAAGATGACTAGGACATGAAAATTTGTTTGCAGAAAGTGAAAAAACAGTTTGGAGGACCCTTCAAAAGTGAATTTTCCTTCTGATTGTGAAATTGAAGTATATTCTTTGCATAAGATGTGCAAACCAGAAAATAGAAAGGAGGCCATTTTTAAGTCACGCATAATCTCCTCCAAAAGTGACAAGCACCCCTAATATTGCTGACTCTTCTCCTCCCAAGGAGCTTTCTGAAGGGGATGACTTGGCCTTAATGGCCCATCCAGCTGCTGCTATTATTATTATCTCTACGTAACAGTCATAACTAAAACGGCTATTGCAAGTCCTCCATCAATGTCAAGAAGCCACAGGTGGAGCTATTTGACTTACGACCAGCCAGGTTCAGTTGCCAATCGAGTCCCTCTAGGGATATCTGCAGAGAATCCACACTCCGTGAAAATGCTCCACAAAAATAGGCATCTTCAAATTTGGCTCATAACCAAGGGCTTCGCTAATGACGACTAACCTTTCGTGTGCCATTCTACATGCCACACCCCCGGCCCCGTGAATGGGCCAGCCAATGTGCATGAATCAAGGCACTCAGAGAAGCCAAGTTATTGGAAAAGAGGCCCATGGAAATCTATTTAAGGAAGTTAAATTTATTTCGCTGTGCAATCCCTGGTGACTTGCCATCTATGGTATATGATGTCAGATATATATTTCATCACTCTGGTAAGCTACACAAACAGGAACATGAGAAAGTGGGAGAGGCACACAAGATGATACATTTTAGGATGCTGAGCTTCAATATTAGAGCAGGTCAGCTATTGGACCTGGGTCTTTCATTGGTTCTAAGTACATACAGTCCAAATCTAGTGACTCATAATCGGAGAGAGATCAAAATCAAAGGGCCGTTAAATAGAAGAGCAGGCAAGTTTGGCTCTCCCCTGCTCACAGAGGCATCTGCCATCTCCTGTGTGGTACCCTTCTCTGCTCCTGAGCATTTTGGCAACTTCCTTCTGGGTGCCCTCTATCCCACTCTGCCATAGGTTTCTTCTCGGTGTGCTAGTATATCCACAGAGAAACAAATCCCTAAAGTCTAGAGCTTTCTGCAAGATTTCAGGGGAGGAGAGTGCTGGGGATTCATAGAGAGCTGGAAAGCTGGGCTGCTGTAAAGGAACTGGGTTACCTAAAATCCTCACATCTGCTTATATTAATATAAGGGACACAGCAAGGATACCATGGTGGATGCTGTGGTGGTGGTGGTGGTGGTGATGGTGGTGATAGTGGTTGATGGTGGCAGTGGTGATGTTGGTAGTGATGGTGGTGGTGACAGTGATGGGTGGTGATGGTGGTGATAGTGATGGGTTTTAATTCTAAACTTTTAGGGAGACCATCTCCCATGTGAATTCTTTCAACACACACAAGTTACTACCTGAATCACAGTCTCTAAAGATGCAAATATTAGGGGAAGTTGGGAATGGCAAGATGGTTTTTATTAAATTCTGAACTTGTAACTAGTGACAGTATAAATTTCCTGAGCTGGTGTATAGTATCCAACAGGACCCACTGATCCACATGAGGCGGGGACTTGGGGAGGGCTTACATTTCACATGATACAAACACACTCTACCTTCAGGTCCAAATGGAGGATGTACATCTGATGCATATGTCTTATGCCCTCACAAATCTGTTTAATGAACAGAATAGTATCTAACTCAGTCAGATTGTAGTTGTCATCAATGATGCGGTCGAACAGCTCCCCTCCGTCCACACTGCAGAGGGAAGAGGGGTGAAGTCCTGAGTCATGGTTCCATATGGACATGTGTTTGCCATCCAGCTTGGTACTGAGACTCCAGTAACTCTTCCAAAATCTGTGTGCCCCCTGTGTTTCTCTGCCTTCTTTGCTGAATCAGCTAGTTGAGGCCCTATTTTCGCTACCTCAATGTCACATGTCCACATACAAATGGAAAGACTCAAAGTCTCTCTCTCAAAGTTCCCACCCTAGAGGGAGTCACATCTGCCATCTTCTAACGTATGGGGAGATCAAGAGAACACAGGGAGGGGAATTCCAAACACCAAGTGAAGATTAGGTAGGGTCTCCTCATGCTAATTGCAGTGATAAAGTGCTTCTGTGTGCTAGATATTTTACTATCTTAAATTCCCTATTGCGCAATGATAAAACCCAATGTGTAGTGGAAAAAATGAACTGAATCACCATGCCAATTCAGTGTAGTTAATAATAACATGCCAATTCGGTGTTATTACTCGTTCTTACCAAACACTTATTTAGTAAAGGTGATTTTAAATAGAAGTTTCTTAGCCCTAATCATGCAGTTTAACATGAACTTTGTATTAGCAATCAGGTTGAAAGTGAAATGTAGTTGAAAAATCACTTCCCCAATTAGAAACAAGTTTGTAATGATTTTCCTTCAGGTTAACCACAGTAACACCGTTTCCAACGGTGTAATTTCCATGTGAACGCTAGATCTTTCTTGCCATTCTAGTTCTCATACCTTACCGTTCTAGCTTATAGCTTTCTATTCTAGTTTGTAACTTGCCATTCTAGTTCTTACTAATAACATCACAAATAGAGATGTCTATTCCTAGGTAAGTTCCTTTCTGAAACTGATGTGATCGTCGAATCAACTCAATGCAAAATCAGTTGAGCACCATGCGTGGATCTACCACTTCTGAGACAGGACCTGAGACAGGACCTGGGTGCTTGGGTGCTCTGGACCTGTGCGCATGGCTTGGCAGGGAGGGAGGGGGCAGGGGGACACTTACTACTCCATCACCAGGACGACGTCGTTCCTAGACTCGAAGGCATCGTAGAGTTGAATGAGGTTCACGTGGTCCAGCTGATTCATGATGTTGATCTCGTTCTTCACCTCCTCCTGAGAGGTAAAGATGCGTTAGTGTAGGGAACGCTGGCTGCCAGGGGAGCTCCACATCCCAACTGTTACCTTTTCCTTCTTGTTTCTGGTCTTGATGATCTTGGCCGCCAGCTTCAGCCCGGTTGCTTTCTCTTCACATTTGTGAACCTGGCCAAAGCGCCCCCTGCCGAGGAAGAGGAGGCAGTGCAGCTGAGGCTCTGTCCCTCCCCAACCAGGGGCTGGGCTTCAGCCACCGCCACGAGGACATGCCAGACCCAGGGCACGTCTCTTTTTGAACTTGAATAAGCAAATCTATTCGTACATCTGCACTGAACTTCCAGCACAGTGTTTGTCAAGGTGTGCTGTGTGGGTTACAGGTGTCAGCTTCACGGCGGGGGAGGGGTGGGGGTGGGGGTATTGTTCTTGGGAATACATGTTTCCTACATTTAGGGAGGCAGGAATCCAGTGCGAGGCCCCAGAATCTGCTTTTTAACAACATTCTTTGGGTGATTCATACGTATCCTAATATTTGAGCCCCTCTGTTATACAGAAAAAATAGAACATTTCTGAAAATACGTAAGTTAGGCTTTATAGACAGGTGAACAATACAGACTGTGGGGGGGTGAGGCCCATCAAATTAATTTTGGAAACTCATGTAAATAAATAAATAGAAATATTGCATAGAGAAGCCCATAATCAAAAATCCAAATTATGCAGTCACTGATGAGATAGGTATTTGACAGTTTGGCTTGCATAGACAGACACTTCGATAGATGTTGCTGGGCAGCTTCTTATATGTATAATTCCATGTATGAGCAATTTTCAAGTTTGACTTTCTGGTTTTGATTAGTGATTTAGTCGAATAGATGGAATATAGATGCCATGATAACACAGCAGCACTGGAAGTTGAAGACCCTCTGCATCCCTGGAAGCCCTCAGAGGTGAGGTCCATGGTGTCCACCTGTCGCCTTGCAGGTGGCAGTGTTGGGAGTGATATGGGGTAGAGGAAAGACAACTCAAAATCCAAGCAGAGAGAGACCTAGAGGGGCCTGCCCCTCTGGAGATGCAGTGCCTATGTCCTGGGCCAGTCTCGCATTCACTGGGAATCAGATTTAGGGAAGGTGGTCAAGTAGGGGAGGAATGTGCATGGTGGGGATGTGGATTGAGGATGCATAACTACCTGGCACAAGCTAGGGGGTAGTGAATAGGTGCTGTTGCCTGGGGGGGGCTCCACTTTTGCTGTTGATCAAAACATCCTATCTCTAGTTCCTGTTCTCACTTAACTTTCTGTCAAGGTGTTTAGCTGGTTAGGCTAATCTGGCCATAATGTCTGTCTGCTGTTTTCAGCAGATACTGGTTTTTCCAGTTTGTTCCTCAGGACAAGACTTCTGTCCTGGTGAGAGGCCCCCCTGACTGACTCTACATTTTAGCTTGACCAGCAGGAACTCTCGGAGCACCAAGACAATATCCCAAGAACAAGGGGGGCTGCGAAATCCACATCCACTAAGAGGCATAAAATGGTGCCGCCACCACATCACGCCTAGCTTTTTATAGGGTAGGGGAAGGGGCCACCCCAGGGCCCCCAAACCTGCCTGTTCTAAATGGGTTCTACCATCTGCCGCATCAAGACAAAACATGTTCTAGTGCATAAGACCGTCAGTAGAAAATAACTTTAATACTAGTGTGCAAAAATTAGTGTGTAATAATTAGTGTGTAGCAGAGAGAAGAGGGAGAATGAAGTTTCCAAACCTAGCACCCAAAGTTACCCACTCCCCTTGTGGGTAAATGCCCAGCCAAACAGGGTTGGCCCAAAGCAGGGCCACTAAGGCCCAGAAGCCTGCCCCAAGTCTAAGGCACCTCCTGGTGGGGACCCATAGGAAATGAGCAGTGGGAACCAGGAAAGTATGGAAGGGAAAGAGCAAAATCAAAATGTAAGTCAAGATAAAGGCTGCCATTGTCGGCCTCCCCATGGGTTTTTCATACAAGTTTCTATCTCTCTTCAGTGTCTCCTTCCATGTCTCCCAAGTCCCTATTATAAGTCCAAGAGTGAGAAATAAGCGCAGCTTCCTCTTCACATGTCTCTGCTCCATGTGCCTCCTCTAGATCTCCATCTGGCTCCATCCTGCTTCCTTCCTTCCTCAGTCTCCTCTGCAGCTGCTTCTCCCTCTGCTCAGCTCCACCCTCCCTTGGGTGGGGCAGGGACTCTGGAACCTCCCCCTTTCCCTGGGGATGACCCTGTTATGATCTCAGCCACACCCCTATGCAGAAGTAGATGGGTCTTGGAGAATGACATTGCTGTCCACAGAGCCAGTGGAGACTTCAGTTACAGCCAGTGCTCCAGATCTTGTCTCTACTGAAGCATATGAGCCTTGGCCAAGACCCTCACAGGAGGCCACTGATTAAGAAAATGCCTTTTTTTCTTAATTACCAATGGCTCAAGAACTGCCTGTCCAGCACTGGTGCTATGTCCCTTTTTGACCTCAGGCCACCCTTGCTGTCTCCTGGCGTGGTTTATTCTGCAAGGAGCTGAGTGTGCAGGCCACTCACTCACAGGATTCCCACTGCTCCACCCTCTTGAGTGCCTCAAGCTGACTAGACCTGGAAGCAGGGATACTCTACCTAGGAGCCAGCGTGGTTGCTGAAGTCTAGAAAAATTCAGGGGCCTGCCACCAGGGGCATGGTTTCAGGAATCAATGACCTTCGGCATTTGTAACATCTCTGCCAATAGTGAAGGATAATTTGCCTCATCTTGTTAGGGGGAAAGCATGTCCTCAGCAAACTTCACACAGGTTTTGAGGACTCCACCCCCACTCCAGACCAAAGCCATCAAGACACTCAGAACTACAAATCCCATCATCACCAAAGGGAGGGGGCCAGGACCTGAGGGTGGAGTTAAGTAGCCAGGTTTGGTATAAAACCAGACGTGTGGGCCTTGGGGGTCCTCTTGCCTCTTGGCTCTTGGCTTGACTCTTGGCTTTTCGCCAGCTGTCAGCATGCAACTGGGATTCCAGGTCAGTGGAACTGGGAGGATGCATTCGCCAATTTATCTCCCTCTCTTTCTCCCCAAGTTATTCATTTCTTCATTTCCCCTTATTTTGTAAATGAACCCTTTATTAACCTTTTTTGTGTGCCTGCAGTTGAGTCTTATTTTTATATATATTTTTATATTTTATTTTATATAATTCTTACATCATTTTTCATTTTTGCACAGTGTATGTATTTTCAATTTGGTTATATTCCCCATACAATTCCCACCCCCCCTTATTTTGACCCTAATCCCCCCTCTCCTCCCCCTTCCCTCCGTGTGTCTCTGGTTTATAGTTGCTTGTGGATTTTGATTTTTTCTTTATTATAATTAGTCTTTTTCCTGGTCCCTTATTTAGGTTTTCTAAAATCCTGCTATGAGTGTGACCATCTGGTATTTTTCTTTTTCTTTCTGGCTTATTTCACTGAGCATGATCCCCTCCAGCTTCATCCTAGTTGTTGTGAATAGCATGAGTTTATCTTTTTTGATTGCTGAGTAATATTCCATTGTGCATATGTACCACATCTTCTTGATCCAGTCATCTATTTTGGGGGGGGGGCATTTGGGTTGTTTCCATAGCTTACCAATTGTAAATAGTGCTGCTATAAACATAGGGTTGCAGGTGCCCTTTTGAATTAATGTTTTGTGTCCTTTGGGTAAATACCTATAAGTAGAATTGCTGGATCATATGGAAGCTCTATCTTTAGTAGGTTGAGGAATCTCCACACAGCTTCTCATAGTGGTTGGACCATTTTGCACTCTCACCGGCAGTGCAGGAGAGTTCCTTTTTCTCCACACCCTCTCCAACATTTGTTGTTGCTAGTTTTTTTAATATGTGCCATTCTCACTGGTGTAAGATGGTATCTCATTGTAGTTTTGATTTGCATTTCCCTGATAACAAGTGATGTTGAACATTTTTTCATATGCTTGTTGGCCATTTGCATTTCTCTTTGGAGAGGTTTCTTTTTAGCTCTTCTGCCCATTTTTTGACTGGATTATTTACTTTTTTTTTACTTTTTCTTTTTTTTTTTATGCCAGCCAGTACCAGCGACACAGTGTCCCAACACATAGGCCTGCAGTTGATCCTTGTTATAAGTCTCTTTAAGCGTGCGGGTGAGGACCCACAGTTAGGCAACACATTTCATCTTGGAATTGCTCTGTAACAATCTCAAATCTCCTACAACTGCAGAGATGATCAGTGAGCATTTTAGGCCACAATACAAATTCAGTGTGCTCCCCGACTGGCTGCCGATTTTGAGTAGAGCCCAGGACTGGAGATAGACAGCAGCTGGCCCAGACAGAAGACAACCAAGGAGATCCAATTCTGCCCAAAGAGGCAGAAAGGAAGTTCTTCAGGAGCCACTGACTAACCATGAGCAGAAGCAGCACAGACCCTGGGGGTTGCTGGAAAGTCTCCTCCATTAGAGAATCAGCACTGGCTGGCCCTCAAGTCCATGCAGACCTGAGTGAGCTGCTGGTGCCGTAATTCTGCAGACACCTAGGAAATCTATCATGTTTCAGAACTCCCATTTCTTCCTCAGCCCATCCTCACATGTGGGATCCCTAGCCCTCCTTATTCTTAGGGCTTTGTCTTGGTACCCAGTGTCTTGCTAGTCAGCTAGGCATACAGTGAAGCAGGAAGCCTCTCCCCAAGGACAAGAGTCCTGGTATGAGGAAAATGATGGAGGAAAGGAGATACAAGGTCAAGAACCTAACTCACATAAGGAGGTAGGGGTAGAGGGGATGAGCATAAGCCATTAACCCAGTTATAGAAACCAAGACCCTCAGACATCAACGCCCACATCAGGAGGCGCAACACCCAGAAACGATCAGACTGCTATAGAGAGTGTCAGGGGCACAAACCATCCACCCACAAAGATGAGCCCCTCCCTGAAGATAATGAAACATAATGCTGCCCCCCACAACGGGGCAGCACTCCCTCTGCCCCCCTGTGGCTATGCAAGTGCTTCCTTTCACCAACTCTCTCCCTCTGCAGGGCAGCAGCCTCCCTGCCTGCTGGTGACCTGTCCCAGCCGGGACTTCTCTTCACTGGCCTCCCTCAGCAGAGGCTGCTCTCAAGGCTGCCCGCCTGCAACCACGCAGGCCTCTCTCAGCAAACCTGTTCCTGTCGGGGGAGCTCTTTCAGCGCGTTTATGCCTATGCAAGTGTCTTTTACTCTTCTGTCCCTTTCTTTAGTAAACCTGCTCTTTAAATATAACTAACATCTCTGTTTCATGGAGAAACTCGCCTGGGAAACTTGCTGCATGCTGGTGAAACAGGAGCTCTGGTGAAACCTCTCCCAGATTGAACCCAAGGACCCCGCTCTCCAAACCCACAGACTCCAAAAAAACGACATCAGAACATACTGGGAAAGAAGCACCTGCTGAAAACAGCAGGCAGACATTAGAATATGTTTTGAACAGCAGGAACAATGGAGCCCCCCAGGCAATAGCCCCTGGCCACTCCACCTTAGCTTGCAGCAGAGGAAAAGGCATCCCCCGCGCATGTACACTGCCTACATACTCGCCACACCTTTGTACTTGATTCTAATAAATAAGAGATGCCTTTGGATTGGGGGCTGCACATCGCTTCTCGGTGTAGCCTCTCTCAGCTTCTCATTGCTCCAGACCAACTTGGACTCTGAGTAATCTTTCCTCGCCTCGTGCTTCTCCCAACGCTGCCCCTCTGGGAGGCAACACTCAGGGTCTTGAGAGTTCTCAAGGTCAGCCAGCTGAGGAGGAAAAAATGAAAGAGTTTCCACAAAGCACAGGTCCAAAGAGCTGTGGAATGGGAGCAGGAGGACCGCGCAGTTACCAACTCTGCCCCATGCCCACGGAGCACCACGTACAAAACCAGCAGGACAGTAAATTCTGTAGATGCTGGGTACGTTTTCTGCTCTCTTCCTACTTGGCGTGGACACGCTGGTGGTAGTGGAGTCTCTGATTTGGGTTTCAAATGAAGGGATATGGTGCGGGGTTGTGACGGAAATAAAGAGTAAGGCCCACCCCCAGCAATGAACCTGCTCTCTGATGGACTCTTTTTTACCTTTTGCAGAAATAGTGTGCACTTAGATGCCCTTCAAGTCCATTCCTTTTTTTTTTTTTAAGGTTTATTTATTTATGCATACAAGAGCTGGGGTATAAGCCAGAGGTGCAGGGGTGAGAGGATGCATCAGAGACAGAGCGGGGAGTAGAACAGGCAGACTGACTGAAATACACTGCTGAGGGGAGTAGCTGGGAGACAGGAGAGGTGTGCTGCACCATGTGTGGTTAGCTCCCTGGTCCGGGATTGAACTCATGCTGCATTGGCTGTGGAGAGCTTCATAGTGCTGCAACTTAACCCCTTGTACCACCAGGGAGGCCCCCAAATCTGTTCTTGAGTGAGAAGGTCATTGATTGTAAAGGATAGCAATGATGAGGACAGAAACCACAGACATGGAAACTGACAATACTTGAAAAAAAGAAATGATGGAACATGAGCAGCAAACACACGCAGTGTTGGCTCCTTTCTACATTCCTTCTGCAGGGTTTAAGCTTTGGAACCTCCTGGTGACTCACCTTGGGTCTCCCTCACTTGCAGACATCACCACTTAGGCAGCAAAGCAGGTCAAAAATGGGGCGCTTAGTCACCACCACCACATCCACCTCTCTGCATCACTGACAGTTTTCAGAAATGGCTCAGATCCCTTACAGTGTCTAAGGCTTTTCTGGTTCTCAGGCCAAGACTCGCAAACATTGATGAAATCCTCAGGATACGTCTCTTTGAAAGCTCTCTCCCATCTCTGTTGAAAGATCGCTCAAGCTGAGTATTACTTACCCTCCTAACATTTCTGTCCTGTTCACAGTATAAAAGCTATTGACGGACGCTGGTTTTGCTGTTACGATCCGGTGACTAAAAGGGGCAGGAGGCGCTGGGGCGTCATCTGGAAAGTGAGGGAAAGAAAGGTCAGCCTGTACGTAGTCAGTCCTCCCGGGAGCACTCAACACTGGGCCTCGGAGTAAAAATCTGCTCTAAATTTAATAAAATACAGTGGGCCTTTTTCCTTTTCAGTATTGCTAATGATTCAGGAATATACACTTGCATTTTAGGTTAGCATCCGTCATGCCTGAAAGTGACAATCTGACATCTTTGAGGAAGAAATTCAGGGCCACAAAAATGGCTTCTTCCATCTTCAGGGCAAAGTTTATTTTCAGAATTGTCAAATCAAAAATCTCCAACCCCAATACTATCAAAACAGATCACACTTCCAAAGCCTGCAACAATTTCAGCTCAAACGGGAGCTAGGGTTTGATCCTTTTTTCTAAAGGCATCACTTAAAAAAAAATTCATTAGTTTAATTAAAGTGGAGAGAAAACAGAAAATGAGAAGTTTCTTCATGTCATTAAAATGTTTGCTCTATGTATTTATTTTTACCTTTCAAAATATTTTAGGCTTTATTTAAGACAGCTCAGACACAAAGATGAATTTTTCCTAGCTGGCTGGAATTAACACACCCAGTAAAAGTGTATATTCGACAGTTCTCAAATTCCTCCCCTGTTGCTCCTTCCAGCCTGAGTGTTTAAACTCTTTATCCACCTCAAGGTCTGTTCTAAAATGCATAATTATTCAACAATATTCTTTTGGTATTCTTTTTACTTTCCCATGATTACTGCTGCTAAAATTTGTTTACGTGGACATATTTATTCCCTCCATTTATTCATTATTCAAGCATCTAGAGCACACAGCTTCTCACATGTACTCAGAGCTCCCAACAGAGGTGCATAGATAACAATTTTAGCTTTAAAAAAAAATCCCCAGTCCTGCAACATATATTTCTGGGCATTTATCTTGTGTAGAGCACTCTGCTGAGAGCTAATATTTTTTAAAAATTCAGATGTTATAAATCTCCAGAAATCTGATTTGATAAAGTCCTTCATGTCTCACATCATAAATATGCTGAAAAAGAGAAAAGGCGGGAGAAAATTCCCTGGGGGCCCTCATCTCTTAAAAAGTAAAAAGTGGGGCCTCCCCAGTGGTATAGTGGGTTGAGCACAGCGCCTCAGACCTCTCCAGTCTCCCTGCTGCTCCCCTCAGCAGTGTATTTCAGTCAATCTGCTTGTTCTGTTCCCCATTCTGTCTCTGGTGAATCCTCTCACCTCCCACATCTCTGGCCTGTACCCCAATTCTTGTATAAATAATAATAAATCTTTTAAAAAAAATAAATAAAATAAAAAGTGTTGGAATTACATAGGCAGACAGCATCGATGTGGGGTGTCTCCTTCAGGCTGGCAGGCTAAGTGAAATTTAGTTGGAAATGCTTGTTGGAAGAGGGTAGGAAGTTTTAAAGGGCTGAAGCAAAAGCCATTTCCTACCCAGTGGGGTCACCAGAACTTGATGTCTGGGGGACTCCGTCGCAGGGGACTCCTGATCTTGGCCCTGGGAACTCGCGCCCTGGGCGCACGCGGTCTCCTGCGTCCTCCTGCAGGCGCTTTCTCCACCAGCCCCTGCGGCCTCGGTTCTGCTCTTCTTGTGGTCCTCCTTGGTGGCGCACTCCTCGGTCACTCTCCGCTTGCTGAGGCCAGAGTGCTCCGCTGGGTCCGTGTTCTGGAACTCGGGTCCCGCCGCGGAGTTCCCCGGAATTGGCGATGGAGAAATGGCCTGCCCGCTGCGGGTGCCCCTGGAAATAAAACCAGCTGCAGCTCCCTGGGCTCAGGGGAGAGCTTTCCCGTGGTCCAGTTTCTGGCATTTGGGTGAAGGGGTCTAAATTCTGGAACAGGCTGGCCAGTTCAGCGTTTGGGGTTGACACGGAGTGCTATGCCTGCCCATCCACTCCAGGCTGGGCGATAAGGGGCAAAGTAAGACCCAGCCAGTCTCCCTCATGACTTCATGGGAGTTATTCCAGGGACGCTTTTCAAAAGTAGACATTTTATGAATTCCTACCTAATTTGCTCTTCTTTTTTTCACTCCTTTCCCCATACAAAATTACTAAAGCAATAATAATAATAATAATAATAATAATAATAATAATAATAATAGAAGAAATAATCTCCCTGGTTGTTAAAAGAATAAACCTTCACTGGGTGGTAAAATAGACCTCATTACAGATTTGCAGCAGCTCCAGCCCTGACTAGGAACAGTTCTGCTGTGATGGGCTTTCTAGTAAACTTTGGTATTTATGTTTAACAGTGGGAAAATAGACTTCTCCCCAAGCAGGTTGCAAATTATTTTAAAAAAAAAAAAAAGAGAGAGAGGAAGGAAAAGAAGAATTACATCTTAATTCCCTTAAAAAAAAATTCCCTTTAAAAAAATTAATTCCCTTTAAAAAAAAAAACCTTTAAAAAAATTAATTCCCTTTAAAAAAAAAAACCCAAAGATATTTGGATATCACAATTACTTGTTGTAGCTTATTACAATGTTACAACAGCTTGTGGTAGCTTATCCTAATTGTAGAGTGATTAATTTTAATTAGCTGCATCATTATCTGAATGTACATGTGAAACTTTATGGTTTGAGGAAATCCTTCTATACTATACTTCCTACCACCGCCCCCCCACAACATTTTGAAGCCAAAAATTTATATTTTTCAAGTATAACAGGGCAGGTGAACATTTTCAGGAGTCGTTTTTTAGCACTCAGATAAATCTGATCATTATTTCATTCTTGATCTCAGAAAAGATTGCTCTAGGTTGCTAAAAATAAGGACTTTGTAATTTTGCGAGGATACTGAGTGATGTGAGCAGGAAGTAGGCTTAGAAAACAGTAAGATGCCTGAACAGCACAAGCAAGAAAAAAAAAGTGGCCAAGAAAAATCCACACTAGCTGGGAAGCTGGATTGTAAATCATTCTTTAAAATCTCACTTCTACAAGGTTTTGAACATGGCCTTGGGCACAGAGGCACGAGGTTCTGCAGCCAACACGAGGTGCCCATGGGATGCAGGGGCCCTACCTTCTGTAGGCGCTGTCACTGTCGGTGCCCTCAGAGTGCTGCTTTTTATCGGAACACGTGCCCTGCACTGTCTCACTAGCACTCGCTGAGGATCCTTTTTTCCCAGTCTCTCTTCTACTTTTCTCCTTGGAAACCAGCCCATTTTTCTCCTTTTCGAACACTGAGCCTTCACTCTCATCCACAGTGCCTGGCTTGTCACCTCCAGCACTGTTCTTTTCTCCTCTGTTTGGTCTCTCAGTGCACAAAGTGTCTCTTCTCTCTGTGTTTTCTCTTAGCTCTATGGCTTTTCTTGGACCAAAATCTTCTACCATGTCTTGGGGTCTTTCTGTTGGAAATGCAGCAAAACCTCTCTCAACGAGAGGGAAGCTGGTCTTCTCCGCATTCTTCTTGTTGAGCTTGTGAACCTTTTCTTCCTCGGAGGAGGGCTGCTGCTTCTGGGAAGATGTCTCTAAAAGCCACCGTGGGATACAAGATGTTTTAATGGAGGAATCATATGACCGGTCTAATTTTGACATCACTATTCAATGTTTCTCGTTATCTGCAGATATTAGCTTTTAAAAAGCAAAGTAGACACGGCCAATTGACTGACACTTGGATTCCCAAAGATTTTCTAGTTTGTAACAAGTAGGACCCAAAACCAATCAAATCAAGGTATGTGAACTGCACTGCTCACAACACAGGATGTTACAAACACATAACTCCCTCTAAAGAACAGCAACAACAGCACCTTCACTAAATATCCAATCTTCTAAAGACATTACCTGTGAGAGATGAGGTCCTTTTGCCTTTGACACACGTGGTTTCCTCCAGGCCGGGATGGGACCAAAGCTTCTCCTTAGCCTATGGATACACAATTGAGTCACTGAGGTTACCTCTTACAACAGGGTTTCTCCACCTCAGCACTGACGACACTTGGGGCTGGATAATCCCTGGGTGTAGGGGATTTCATCAGTATTACAGAATGATTACCAGCAGCTCTGGTCTCTCTCCACCAGATGCCAGTAATGCCCTCCAGCCCAGTTGTGACATCCAGAAACATCTCCAGAAATTACTAAATGTTCCGTCAGGGAAAAATCACCCCTGATTAAGAACCACTGTATTACATGATTCAAACAGAAAACACACACACACAAGAAGTAATAGTAATTGAGAGCAGTCCAACTTAATGACATCTTGAATGGACTACAGACGAACACACCATTTTAAATGAAATTTTATTAAAACTCTGGTATTGTTTATGGAAGAAAACCCATCTTCATGAATAGATTAAAGGATGTTGATAATGTGATTGTCACCCTGGACCTCTATTTATATTCTTGATATGGTTCACGTATGAATCAAATGAAAAATGAGAGGGTATATGGGAATGGGTTTTGTAAAACAGAAAGTGGAGACTAAAGTTAGCTTTTATAAATGGAGCTTTCACTTTTCTTAGCACAGATGGTCCTTTTCCTAAGCAGATAAACATTCTTCTCGAAGCCTTGGTTTCTCTGAATTAGCTGAGCAGACCCTTTTAAAATACCACATAAAAGGTATGCATTAGCCCAATCCTCCTACCTTATCACAAATTCTGTGGTTGTGCATTGCCAATTAATGCAAGTGAATAGGTGGCCAAAAGAATTGGCCTATTTTTTTTCCCTTTTGGAAGGAATTGCCTTCAATTTGCCCTAAGGTGACTTGCAAGAAGGAAAGCTGTGCAAAGATATCAAGACAAATTGCAAATGTGCTTTTAAACAATCCGAAGGGAAGTCCATAGGATTCAAAGTATTTCCATTTTTCAGATAGGGACCTTGAAACACAGAGGCATGTTTAGTAAATCTGTGGAAAACCAAGATTAGAGCCTATGCATTTGTAACTTTCTCTGTTAAGTGAAAGTGAGGGTGGAGGGGGATGTTCCTCAGCATCCTCAGGCTAAGCCAGTTGCTCCCTGATCTATGATTGCACAGTGCTCAACACAAGCCCTCGCTGCAGCCCTCACAGCACTTTATTACACCTTTTCCCCTGTCAATTTCCCACTCAGTTGTGTATCCCAAGTTGGCAAAAAGGCTGGTTTATCTTTGAATTCCTGGCACTGAACCCAGAGGTAGGATATAGTGAAGAAGTGGATGGTGGTGTTAATGGTGACAATGATGGAGATGATGGTAATGGTGGAGGTGATGATGGTGATGATGATAGTGGTGGTGGGTAATATATTCTAAGTATACTATGCAATTGACTTAGTTTCTTCTTATAACAACTTTCTAGGATAGATGGTTTTATTTTAAATTTTCATTTTAAATTTTAAATTCTTCATTTTCATTTTAAAATGAAGTTGAGGGCCTCCCCAGTGGTGCAGTGGTTGAGCGCTGGGTTGCGAAGCTGCCCGCAGCCTCTGCAGCGCCGGTTCAATCCCCGGCTGCTCCCCGGCCACCGGAGGAGGGTCCCACATGGCGCGCAGACCTCTCCTGCCGTCCGCTGCTCCCCTCAGCAGTGTGCTTCGTCAGTCTGCCTGTTCTGCTCCCCGCTCTGGCTCTGGTGAATTCTCTCACCCTCCCGAGCTTCTGACTATACCCAGGGCTTGTATAAATAAATAAATAAATCTTTAAAAAAATAAAATAAAATAAAATAAAATGAAGTTGAGTGATTACCCAGTTATATAGTTCAGAAAAGGTAGAACCAGGATTCTGTTTCCTATTCCAGTCTGTGCTCTTAACTATATATGTCACTGTAAAAATAAATGAATGAATGAATGAATAAATAAATAAATAAATAAAAGATATGGAAAAAATAAAGCCGGTTTGGGAGAAGTGAAGCCAAGTTATATTGTTAACATTTATTGACTCTCTACATGTAGTCAACATCACAGTAGATAAGAAAGATTAAGAAGGAAGGATAGAAGGTGAAAACCAATTAGTAAAGAAATAAACATTTATTGGTCAAAAGACTAGAATTAATGAAAGACAGGAGGCAGAGAGAGGCTAAATTGAAGTCTAATTTTGAAAGCATATATCCAAATCAGTTAAGATAGTTGAACAAACTGTGTTTATCTTATAGCCCTGCCACTCAATGCATCTCATTTGAAATGAAAACTCGTGGTGGATAGGAGTTGTACTTCTGGATGGTAGGACCACAACAGTAAACACATGTGGGCTTAATAAGAAAAACTTGTGTGTATCCATCAATTTCAGTCTGTCAAAATATGTAGAATAGAGAACTTAGCGGTAAGTCTCCGTGGTGTGCTGATGGCATTTGCTTCCACAGTCATCTGAGTGTCTAAGCTACGTGTCCACAAGCTAAGTGCCAGCTTTGGGGACAGCAGTCTGCCTTGACCCACAGGAGAAGTATCCCTCCCAAGAAATAAAAGAAACCAATTTCCAAACGAGGGTGTTTTGTTGTTTTTGTTTTTTCCTTTGTTGACTGTATTTCTCATCTGTCTGGCCAGTAAAATTAGGTGAGGTCTTTCTTCATGGCCATGGACTGTTATTTTCTCATTTCCCTGTGAAACACTGACATCTAGAGGAACTTGAGCAAAGAGTTTCCCAAAAACAGAAGTTGTCTTTCTCCTTTGCTGTTTCTGGACAGCAATTTCCAGTTGAAGAATTTTCACTTTGTGTTTCTAAGTGATGCGTATCAGCTGCTAAAACAGGAAGCCTCAGTCTGTGGGGCCATCCTGTTTGTTGTCCAAAAATGAAAATATTTCCTAGTGATCGGAGGGCACAGGACTGTACTGGGTAGTGTGAAGAGCCTGAAAGATTGTGCTCATCCTCTGTTGATGGATAAAGAGTATCAGGGTGTGCTCCTCAGCAAGATTCACACCGATGACTGAGATGAGCGAGGGGTCTCATTTCATCAAACGCATTCATTAATTCATCCACTTTAAAAACACTGATCGCTCTCTCCTCCCTGGCCACCTGGAGTCCCGCCACCACCGTGAAGGACACAGTAACTATCAGGACCAAGATGTTCGTGACCGGTGGAGCAACCACTGATTCAGCAGCAATAAATGGTCATTGAAGGCAACAGCACCTACACTAGAAGTTCAGGGAAAACTAGCTAAAATGTGCAAGCACAACCCTGCTGTCACCTTTGTTTTTGGATTTGGAACCCATTTTGGAGGTGGCAACACAACTGGCTTTGGCGAGATTTACAATCCTTTGGCTGATGCAAAGAAGAATGAACCCAGACAGAGGCACGGTCTGTAGGAAGAGAAAGACCTCAAGAAAATAGTAAAGGGACACAAGAACAATATAAAGGAAGTCAGGGGGACCCCAGAGGCCGGCGTTTGTGCTCCACATACCCACATATTCACCCTCTAGTAGCTTCAATGCTACAGTCAGATTTCTAGGGTTTGTTTTTTCAGTTCCTTTGTTTTGTTTCTTCATATTCCACATATGAATGAAACCATCTGGTATTTAGCTTTCTTTTTTAGCATAATTGCCTCTGGTTCCATCCTAATCGCAAGTAGCAAGAGTTCATCTTTTTTATAGCTGAGTAGTATTCCACTGTGCATATCTTCCTAATCCACACTTCTGTCATTGGGCACTTAGGTTGTTTCCATAACTTGTCTATTATAAAGTGTGCTGTAATGAATATAGGAGTCATCTATTCCTTCAAATTAGTGTTTTTACATTCTTTAGGTGCATACCTAGGAGAGGAATTGCTGGATCATATGGTAGATCTATTCTTAATAATTTGAGAATCTGCCATTCTGTGTTTTTTAAGATTTATTTTATTTATTTTTGCATAGAAAAACTGGGCTGTAGGCCAGAGGTGTGGAGGGTAAAAGGATTCACCAGAGACGGAGTAGGGAATAGAACAGGCAGATCTACTGAAATACACTGCTGAGGGGAGCAGTGGGCAAGACAGGAGAGGTCTGCTGTGCCATATGGGTCATCTCCCTTGCTGGGGATGGAACTCAGGCCATTGCAGTGGTCCTTCTCGGTGGTAGCACTGAGACTTAACCCCTAGACCACCAGGAAGGCGCCCTCCCCCATACTGTTTCCCAAGGGGCTGGACAAGTCTATATTCCCACCAACAGTTTTTATGAGGGTTCAGGATTCATAGCTCCAATGACTATTTTGACAACTGCATGCATTGTATACATGTGTTTCAATTTTACTTACTGTCATAGAATCAAGACTGGATTAGTAAGACAACATCAGTCCTCAGGTGTGTGCTGAGTAGGGTGACTCACCCCTGTACCACTAGCCCATCCCAGAGCTATTCCAAAACTCTGTTCTTCCTAAAAGTGAGGAAATAACCAAAAGGGAAAGGAATTCAACTGGACAACTTTTCCTTGTCCTTCTTTCATTCCCATTCAATAAAAATCAATTCTAAAAAAAATCCTAAACTAGATTTCACCATAAAAGAACCGAAAGGCCAAGATACTGGCTGCTCCCTGAAGCCCCCATAGTGCTGTCACCATTTTCTAGGTTGTTCCACCATCCACTGACATGCCTGCCCCTCCCCTGCAATGTGGGCCCAGATCTTGACTTTTGCTGCCCTAGGGACACCGCACAGGGTGGTCAGGATTCCAAAAATGCTTGATAAGCCCATGAGCAAGGGAAGATGTGCTTCCAGGACTGGCTTTCACTGTGTGAACATTCATCACTGGAAAATCAGACTGAGAACAAACATCCTCCATGCCCATTATGGGTGAATGAGAGAAGTTGGGGTGTATCCTAGGTATCTACTCAAAGGACACAAAAACATTAATTCAAAAGGACACCTGCACCCCTATGTTTGTTGCAGCACTATTTACAATTGGAAAGCTATGGAAACAACCCAAATGCCCAAAAATGGATGACTGGATCAAGAAGATGTGGTACATATACACAATGGAATATTACTCAGCAATCTAA